ACACAATCTTGGCTGACAGTAACCTCTCGGAAAATGGGTTGGTACCAACTGATGGGCAACCACATCACTGCGCGCGCTCATTGATCAAATATATAAAATACCACGCACTTGCCCATACGTAACTTAGAACATACGTAATGTTCGTGGATAAAGCATACCGTGTGCATAAGTGCAATATAAGTGTTGTACATGTGCGGACGCTATGATGAGTGTAGTAGTGGTAATTTTTATTGCCACACAGAACGCACTAGAGCTGAGAGAAATAAACAAAAAAATAACAAGAAATATTTAAGCATATCATCTCCTGGGGACGTAAGAGTACCACAGACTGAAATGAAACAGCAGATGAGTGGCAGCACCTCCCTGTAACAGTACTTTTGCACTGAGAAACATCCAAAACGAAATGTTTTGAAACAAATCGCATAAAACAAATCACACAACATGTTTTGTTGATGGTGGCGTTCGCACTCACAAAAACTGTGTAAAATTTTTAACATATATTCAAACTTATCTTTCAACATGACAATATTTCTACAAATTTGTTTTCAAACATTTTGTTTCTGTAGTTATAAAGATATATATAATCAGTGATAAAATATGTAATTTACAATCACTGATTTTATATCTCTATGTGTACAATAAACTGTCAAACATAGTTCACTACAACATGTTCTTTGACTATACAAACGCTTTTTGATACATTGATAGAAAACAGTGTTTAAAACATGTTTTTTTTTTGTAAAAATCGCGTCAATGGGTGCGTTTGGCAGAAAAAAGCGCTAGCAAGCGCTTACAAGCGCTGAAATAGTTTTCGGCCAGGACACGATTGCTACTTCAGTAGCGCTGACACAATCCGCCTGCTTATTTAATTTGTTTGTTTTGAAGTACCTAGAGTTTATAAGTTTTTTTGTGCAATATTAGTTTTAAGTAAAATAATGACATGAATAAACATATACATGTTATTAAAAATTCATGATTGGTAAGTTTTTAATATGAATACTTTACAAACATATATTTAAATTGGGTTAGGTTCCCCGGTTAAAACTAACTTCGTGTCCTAGAGGAAAATAGCTACTTACGATTTGACAGCGCTTACCGCTTACGATCGCCATTTTGCTTACAAGCGCTTGCTAGCGCTTTTTTCTGCCAAACGCACCCAATGCAAACTCACGGTTGACAACTCATTAAAAAACTGCGGTTGCCGGCCGGCCTGCCACGCCTGGCACCCACCTGGCCCCTGTGAAATGTATTCCCCCATGTGAAACAATCTATGAGGAAGCCCTATATTCCTAAGTTTAGCAGTAGACTTGACAGACTGTAATGAATAAGGAGAGAGAGAAAGAAAATATATAGTAACCTAAAAAATCATTCTATCGATACGATATATCGGTAAGACTACATTCGAAGAAACAAAAGAATGTATTTAAATTTAATATTGATTTTCGTTCGGATGCGATGCTGTTGAGGACGATGAAATTTTGAAGTACCCAAAGTGATATGATCATCATTATGTATTATCGTAATATCATAACGTATATTGTTGTTCAGTTTGACGGTATCCAAAAAGTTTAGTGTATCAAGTGTTAATGATAACACTTTTTAAGATTACGTGCTGTTATCATGTATAGTATATGTTATTCTTTTCATAAAGGAGATCAACTATATTAAGATAAATATATCAAGAAATATCTTGGCATATCTTTTGTGGTAGATGTGGTAGATGGTTACATTTCTCTTTTTGTTAACTAACAATTTACGCTAGAGCAAGAATGGTTTATGTATGACGCATTTCATAATAAGCACATGACAGTAAAATATAGGCGTTTTTGAACAAGGGTTTCTTTGCGAAACGTTTTCAGTATACTGCCGAATACAAATGACGTCATCAATTGACACTATTTATACTGCGTGCCGCCGCCATATTGTGTCGGATATCCGGCCATAATAAAACAATTTTTAATTGTGTGTGCGCTTAATGAAGCATGCCAGACTTTGTTTTTATTTATTCAAATTCAAAAGATTATAGAATAATTGCTGGTATCTCCATTAGGAGCATATAATGATTTTTGGACCATAAAATGACAAAATAATCGCCAACACTTTTCCAATATGGCACAAATGTATGACGTCATATAACATATACTGTCCTATGTGTTGGAACGAGCGACGATTCATGACGTCATTTGCATTGGACAGTACACTGGGTTCTATTTTGGAATATACCCAGTCTACCTGATGGTAAGGCCCATAGACATCTACATTTATCCTCGATTAAGAATCAAAATGCAGATGTGTTGTCACCCCTGAGGATTGCGATGGAATGTCTTCTTTCCCGTAAAAAGGGTCTCCGGTTCATCATATAAAACACATACGAAACATTATATATCATATATTCACCATACGAAACACAGCGGCGTTAAGCTGCTATTTTACGCTGGTATTCTGTGAGAGCGTGGTCCTCTCCCGGGCGAGTCGACCCATACGTACTACAACCATAACATTTTATTTTTTATAGGATAGGGTGACAAACGAGCACACAGTCCTCGATTACACACATTTATCCTCGATTACGCATCAACATACAGATGCGTTGCCACCCGTGAGGGCTACGATGGAATGCCTCATTTTTTTATAGGATAGTGTCATGATTTCTAAATGTATCATATTATTTTAAATATTCTTTTATACATTAATGTACTTATAATGATTTACTAATTTATGATTGGCTAAGTAAGCCGCAGTAGTAGAAATACTGTTGTAGTCAATTCACATAGTTTCATTTTTGTAAGTTGGTAGCTGACTCCGGAAATGTGATGTGATTGGTTTAAAAAAATAAAGACTAGCAAGAGGGGATAGTTGGTTGGGTCAGAAGTTTCAGTTTATACAAAGGTACTCTGTGGTCAGAAGTTTCGGGGAATAGCTGGAGAGAGCTTTTGGTAAACATTGTTATTAAGAGTAAGAGTAATATCATAAGTGTTTATTGTTTAATATCACGAATATAACTAACTAAGAACTAGCACAACTAAGAATAAGCACACGTTCCACCTGATGGTAAGTGGCAGCTGCGGCCCGTAGACATCTACATCTATCCTCGATTACGAATGAAAATGCAGATGCGTTGTCACCCGTGAGGACTGAGATGGAATGCCTCGTTTCCAGTAAAAAGGGTCTCCGGTCCTCTACACTCACCATACGAAAAACAGCAGCATTATGCTACTATTTCACGCTGGTATTCTGTGAGAGCGTGGTCCTTCCCCGGTCGAGCTGACCCGTTCGTGCTACAACTATACTACTAATATAACTGCAGCATGGTTCTACCAGGTACCAGCATATTTATTTCTTTTATTTGTATAATAGAGTATTACTACTACATACTTATCCTTACCCTTAAGGCTTCTTCTCCTTCATCAGCCTCTAAAAATCCACTGCTGGTCATGGGTCTCCTACGCTGTAGGGGGATTTACATTAATCATCACACCTGGCAGATGGTTTGACGATCCTAGTTCCAGAAGTCTCGCACCTTTGTACACCATGATTCTAGTACATAAAACGGAAGGATGTTTTTTGTTATGTACTAAAAAAGCAACAGGAGCAACACTCGTATTTGTGTATCCTACTTCCTTCCTTTTTTATATTACTTTGATGGAAATGCTTACTTGAACATACTAACCGCAACCGCAGCTATTGTGCGATATTATTAATTGTAAAGTGTGGTAAAATTGTAAAATGATTAAATACAGTTCATTTAATTTACTTGTTTGTTTGTCATGTAGGCCAGGCACCTAACCAAAAGTGCCAGTTGGACAAATAGCATTTATATTTCATATATATTTCCTTTGAATCCCGATTAATGACTCGTTATTCTGTTATATAAGCTCAGAAGGGTTAGAACCCAGAGCCGTAAAGCCAGTTAATAAAAAAATCTGTTATATATATTATTTCTGTGGCGCTATTTATGTGTTCAAAATTTCATCCTAGTAAAACCTAGACAGAAAAGAAGTCCTATCGGTTTTAGGTGAAAAATAATAACTGCCATCCGTGTAGGTAGAGAAATTAGGTAGAGAAATTTCGTATGCCAAAATCAGTTTTAAAAATTATTAAGAAATATAAGACAAATTGTAAGATGGAGAAGAAGTTTAATTTAATAAAACATCATTTACTGATATCGCTTGTCGTATATGATATTGTTTAACAGGATTTAATTTAGACAAAATTTGATGCTATTAAAAATATCAGTCAGGATTAATTGAGTTTTTAGACAGAATGCACGTAATAATTTATCGATTTTTTATAGAATAAGATTGACAAATGAGCACACAGTCCACTTGACTTTATGTGAATTTTGGGGGCCCATAGACGATCTACATCTATCCTCGAATGGATTTAATGTTTGTTCGTATTTTATCAGCTTGCACTTGCGCCATGGTTGTAGGCATAGTACAATTAAATTTTACAATTAAATTAAATTACAGTAGGTGGTGCTCGGATGAAAAATGGTTATTTAACTTCAATTATTGTATATTTATTCCTAATTGAACAATATGGCTATCAAATTTAAAACTTTATTTTCACAATTATTTCTTCTTCGGCAGCAATGCGCCGGGTACCAGCTAGTATAATGAGATTATCTCCCACTTATGATGCTTTATTTCACAACAGAATAAATTATTCTTAAATTAATTTCATTACAATGTGTCTAAGCAGAAACAAGCCTCGGTATTTCTATTATACTCGTACTTTAGCAATCGATTGAGTTGAGAATACTCATAGAATCATTGATTGATTGGTTTAGGTTGAATGAGATAAAAAATGTTGTAGAATGAGACGACGTAGGATAAATACGGAATAAAAAGAAAATATTTTATAAAAAATAATTTTATTGTAAATTACATTTTTTAGCATTGTTCTTTGGCATAGAAGAGAATTCACAGGTGTCAATAATTACTACCTAAGTTTATAAATATAATATTTAACGCTAAATACAAATCTATTTCACAAAACTACTCGCTAATTTTTCTCAAAAATTTATATTGAAGATTTTGGAAGCCACCGAAGTACCAAGTGACAAAGATAGAAAGAAAGCTGTGATATATAACCCAAAATTGAAATATTACACTGCTGCATATAGCATACATAAATAATATGTCGATGAAAGTCCAAAATACAAAACCAATCTTGGCTCTTCTCAATGACCGCGGATTATTTTCGGTAGGTGCACTCTTCGTTGCAGTATCAATAAAAACACCTAAAAGAAATAAATCTTAACTAAAGTTTAGATTATTTTTTTCAAATCAACTTGCTGAATTTAATTACCGTCTGAATGAAATTTACGAAGACTGTACTCCTTCTCCTGCCAACGGTCATTTAACCAAATTTTAAGGGCCTCGTCGTCTGAGGGAAGATCGTTGATAGAGTATCTGTAATAGAATAAGCGTAAAATTTATAAGGTTAAAGTTAAAGTTACAGCCTATATAGGCGAAAAATTTAGGTTAGATTTGGATAGCCATCACATTTTGAGGCTAATGAAAAACCCAATCCTGCATCGCTAAGAAACCAAGGTATCCAGCTTTATTACATTACCATTACCATTCCATTACTGCCCTTAAAAGTCCACTGCTGAACATAGGCCTCCCCTATAAATTGCCTCATAGGGGGAATTTGCCATAATTACCACACTTGGCAACCCCAGTTTTTCATAATTTTGATTTGTTATCAGGACGACACCCGCACATCTCCCTGTTTGATTCGCTCAGACGTCTCTTACGACACCCACGGGACGGTATATGGTGTAGTGGATATACACTTACACCGCCAATACAGGGGTTTTCAAGCTTTATAAATATTTTTCAATTCCATTTTTAAAATGGAATATTCGTGCTAGGAAAGGTTTTCAAAATATGCTATGCTATTCAAACATATTTATACTTATTTCAACCCATGTTTTTCGAAGATTTTTTAACGTAAACTTACTGCAAAAAGAAAGAAAATAGGTAATTTTTGTATTATGTCAAAATGATACAAAAATCGGGCAACCATACAGAGTATTGTAGTACAGATATAGTAATTAACACAAATGTATGCGTGAATAATTCTCCAATATATACGTGGGTGGTATGAAATTTTTCTGACCTAACAAACATACAAGACATTTTTTTTCATTCATTCATTTTCATTTATTTTTATTTTTGTTCATAGTCTCCTTGTAACTCCATACACTTCTTCCAACGATGCCCTCGTCTCTCAAACTCGTCGAAATAGTACTCGGCGTTTTTCTCTGCAAAATAAATTTTCATGAAGGTGATTGCCTCCCCCTCATTTTACGGAAATCTCTGTCCTCCAAGCGCAGTTTTTAGATGACGGAACAAAAAGAAGTTACTTGGGGCTAGATCAGATGAGTAAGGTGGATGGTCAAGCTGTTCAAACCGTAATTCGTTGATTTTCGCTATGGCAGCCGCTGAGGTGTAAGCCCTTTGTTATGGTGAAACAGGATTTTTTTCTGCAATTTTTGCCTTCAGTTTGTCAAGTTATGATGCATTTTCCTTTTCAAAGATAATCTATTAAGATAACTCCATGACTATCCCAAAAAACACTCGCTATCACTTTCTCAGCCGAAAAAAGTTTTTTTGAAGCTGGTTCCCCCTTTACCGTCCACTGTTTTGACTGTATTATTGTTTCGGGCTTATAATTGTGTATCCAAGTTTCATCTACAGTAATTAATAAGCGCCAAAATTTATTGCGCCTAAATTGCGCCTACAGAGCGTTGGAAATGTTCATTCAAAGACGTTTTAAGTCTAGAGTTAGCAAACGCGTCATCCAACGCATTGACAGCTTTCTCATGACTAAATCTTTATTCAAAATGTGACTAATATGTTATTTGGACATTTTCATAGCCTCTGATATCTCTCCCACTTTAATTCGGCGGTCGTCTAGCACCATTTGGTAAACTTTATCGATGTTATCGTCAGTAGTTGCAGATTTTGGACGTCCTAAACGTTCACCGTCTGCCAGGCTCCTTTAAATTTAGCCGCCCAAATTTTCACTGTTGTAAATGATGTTGCGGAGTCCCTATACACAGAGTCTAACTCATCTTTGATTTCCGTAGGCGTATTGCCTTTCAAAAACAAAAATTTAATGACAGCTTGATACTCAATTTTTTCCGTTTTCACAAAAATACTCATATCTACTCACTCAAACGACTGTCAAATAACAATTTATACTTCGCGAACCCTGCTGCCAAACATATCCCACTATCGTCACTCATGAAAATGTCAAATACATTTCGCGGCACTAATCTACTCGTATGTATTGATTTTTTACCTTTATACCTTTTACCTTATTATTCTATATCCGCCTTCGGATTGCACCATTAGAAAGGTGAATTCATAACAGTCACCTAGATCTATATGAGCCCTTTTTTTTATAAAAAAGAATAATAACAATGCTATAAACATTACTAATATTCCCCTTAACCACTCGTGGTAAGCTTAAATTGCTTGTGTTACGAGTGATTCACGCCAGTAGTCGAATGGTGGATTCGAACCCACGATCTTTTTGAGTTCGCGGTCCGCGCGCTGTTATTAGGCTTCTGTCGATTCAAATGATTACACTATTTATGAACTTTGATAAAAGTATACACTATAACACTACCTCGTATCATCTCGTGGGTGAAGTAAGAGGCAACGAAAATAAACAGGTGATACGCACCAGCATTATCCCGATAACAACTTGAAAACAATAAAAAACTGAATGAAAAATAATGTTTTTTCATCCCTCTGACATGCAAGTTCTCATGATGTTTTTTACCGCCGTGCACTCCGTAAATTACCACTTAAAATTCATTATTTTCATCATCAATGCAGCTCCAAGTCCACTACAGCACGGTCCTGGGTCACTTACGTCTAACCAGATTGTCACTCCATCTAGTGGGCGGCCGCCACACACTTCGCCTACCGGTACGATACTGCCACTTGAGAACCTTTCTTTCTCATCGGTTGTCGGTCCTTCGAGCTATAATGGCCGCTTCATTGCCACTTCAACTTACAAGTCCGTTGGGCTATGTCACTTAAAATTGCTAATAAAAATTTCGTTGATACCTGTGGTGATGCAATCCAGATTATACGATTAGTGTACTGTAAAATTTTCAGCGAGTACTTAGTCTCTGTTGTTGTGTGTCATACTGCTACACAAACGACACTTTCTTTTTATTTTCATCACTTAGTTTAAAGCTTAGAATAATAACACCATATAGAATAATAAGGTTGTTATTATTCTAAGGTTTTAATCAATGTGAGAAGTTTAAAATACCCTAACTAAACACTCCTAAATTTAAAGACAGTGATTTGTTTTCCAATAATTTGCGTTATTTTTTTAAAGGATAGGGGGTGACAAACGAGTACACAGTCCACCTGATGGTAAGTGGTTGCTGCGGCCCATAGACATCCACATGTATCCTCGATTACAAATCAAAATGCAGATGCGTTGTCACCCGTGAGGATTAACATGGAATGCCTCTTTTCCAGTAAAAAGGGTCTCCGGTTCTCTACACTCACCATACGAAACACAGCAGCATTAAGCTACTATTTCACGCTGGTATTCAGTGACAGCGTGGTCCTCCCCCGGTCGAGCTGACCCATTCGTGCTACAACTATACTACTAATACAACTGCAGAATGGCTCTACCACGTATAAAATTACCGTTTTAAATGAAAGAAAACTTCCTCAGGTATCTTCCCACTTATCAAATCGAGTTCTGTGTTAGCAGGATTATCGTACGCAACAGTGACGTCATACACCGAAGTCAAACCGGCGCAGCGCAATCGAGAACACAACGCTACCCATCCTTTAGTACGTGGATGTAATACAAACTCGTAACGCTGTAAATGACAATGACATTATTATTGAATTAATTGATTTTTTATATACGAGTAATAAGAATGACAAACGAGCACACGGACATCTCCATTTAAAATTTCTCTTATCGTTTATTTTTATCATTATAAAATGCTCATGATATTGGTGCGTTATCACCAGATCTAATATTTCACTGCTGGTTCTTATCAGTAACCAAAAGCAATACCAGTTTTATAGAGCGCTGCTTCTTTTATCGTGAAATTTTCAAACTTTAATTATAGAACTTCTAAATTAGAAATATAATAAATTAAGAAAGTAATAAAATACATCACTTAAACTATCATGCAGTCCAACTTCCGTGGTGTTATGCCAAGAAATCAGACTGCGTTTCTTCGCTGAATACTTAGCCTTTGAGCAAACCCTCTTATCACCAGCAGCGACGATCAGTACGTGACTGGTTCAGTTACAGTTCCTTTAGAAACTTCACCGCACGTGAACCTCACGGACCGATGGTTTCTACAGCAAATGGCCCAAATATGTAGTTTTCATCTCTTAGACCTCATATTTGCGCCATTTACTCAGACACCGCCCCGGCTCTAAACTAGGTACCCCTAAAGAGGCTGCTAAAGTGTCTAAATCAAAATTAATGTGCTGTTTACTTTTAATTGATACATACTAAAAGATATGACAATATGAGATATGATAATGAGAATAAATGGACAATAATAAAGGTCGAAAAAACCTGTAACTTATTCGCTTCAGCAAATTTGTGACTTCGACGTTTATTGTCATCGCTCAAATCGGTTCCCTCTGGGAAAAGTACGATTCGATTTTTATAGTGCAGATTTCGGTAATAATCCACGAATTGTGAAAGATTCTGTTGATCTTCCTGCCAGTTGCGTTTTACGTAAAGAAAGAAATTCAACTGCATTATCCAACCTGCAACGTATTTGTTAATTTATTTCCATATTAAATAACGTCCTAAAACAAATGTTATTTTACCATAAAATTCCAATTCGAACTTTCGCAAACTAACTACTAACTACACTGCGGTCGTTAGTCCGCCTACAAAGCGTAAGGTCCGGTTTACATTTTGAGAAGTGACAAGTGCGAGTGGCAAGTGAGAAGTGACAAGTGCGTATTTTATTCCCACTTATCACTTGTCACTGCCTGTTCACACGCACTAAGCACTTATCAATTGTCAGTTGCACTTGCCACGCGCACTTGTCACTTCTCAAAATGTAAACCGGGCCTAAGGCAAACCCGATCTTCAATGTGATGAGGAAGAAAAAGATGATGTTTATAATTTCGTCGGTCGCCAGAGTCTCCATGTTAGAAGGATGCACTATGTACAAGGAGTGTTAGAATTTCAGGAACTTGTTGCAATTTTTAATGTTATCTTATAGCTTAATACTGTTGTGATTATCAAGAGTGTAGTAAGTAATACTCTAAATGCACTGTAGTCTATCTTTCGACTCCACTTCTTAAAAAAAAATTAAAATACGGATCGCATTTTCATATCATCATAAGGATCCCGAATTTAATATGTAGGTATGTATAGAATTCCACATTAACAAAAATTAAGTACCTACCCACTACACTCTTAATACATCGTCATCATTATTACCGCTACAGTCCAGCCCATTCCTAACATAGAACCTATGTTGTTCTATGTTTCCACAGATCACGATTCTGAACCACTTGTATCTCATACCAGATCGTCACTCCACCACTATGATATGACTGACTACTATGGAAAATATCCCCACTTTTGGTTAAGACGGCAAAATACAAACGTCTGTATTTTATGGTTGTAAGGAGTAATTAAATATAACATAACCATGACTTACCCATTCCAGGTAAAGCTTTTATTTCATCTTTTAAGACAAATTTTAATCGCGATTTTCCTCCAGCAATTAAATCAAATACATCGTTTTTATCTTTACATTTGAAATCATTGCAGTTGACTAAGCCTGTTTGTCTAATAGAATCTGTTTCCTGAGTCGCATGATACAAAGCTATCCATACATAATTCCAATCCACCCGAGTGCGATGATTCATAACAATAATTGTATTTTCATTTGGATCCACATAATCTCCGAAAAAACGCAGTCGAGTATTGTAGCACCATTGAAAGAGTGCCTTTAAAGAACAATGTTTCTATCTTAGTATAATTTCATAAGAAAATATATACACATACATCTTAAATGCTAAAAATTTATATCAAACAGGATTTACTTGCATTATAGAATCAAAAAAGGGATTAACATAATTTTTATATAACAAAATCCGAGAAAAATAATCGGATGCAAAAAATACACAAGCTGATACAGACCCGTAAAAAATCCGAAAATTAGGCTAAAAAGTTATAGTGAAAATTAAGTTCTTAGCCTTATGCTTGTAGTTGAATTTGAAAAAAAATATTGAAAAGCTGTTGTCCTTAAGACGGGATATTGAGTATTAAATTTACAAAAATTAATTAATTAAAATATTGTTTCATTTGCGTATAGTTTTACTGTAATCAATAGCAGTTATTTTTACATACTCTAAAACAAATTGTTTATTTACACCACTTTCCACCTCACGGCGCTGTTGGCAAACAAACTGTTCGTCCATTTTGTGGAAAAGTCGCACAAAGACACACCTCCACATCCTATTTTCTCAAAATTAAATAAAGTGGAAAAGATACTTCATTATTTCAATTTACTAAACGACTCGTTACAGTACATTATAAATATATTTTTTACTTACCACAGGGTAAAGCTCCCATAGTGAAAACAGAACGTCAACAACTTTTCTATACAGGTTGTGATTTAAGAACATTAAATACATAACAGGACAATAAAGCGTATAGAAGCCTGTGATAAAAAACATACTGAATAAATATTATTTCACAACTTGTTGCCTCTACTTTCAATACAACGTTAAGTAATCTTCATCTTTAGAACAATTTTATTCCATAATTTAAAAGAAAACTTTTACTAATTATATCGTTAACAAAGTTTGAATTTCTATAAGAGTTATTACTCTAATAGAAATTCAAACTTTGTTAACAACAAAACATAGGAAATGTTTGTACAATGATTTACTTACCAGCAAGAATTGTATAGTACCATGCAGCACATATCGCTACGCCTACCGCCATGGTGGCATATTTTAACTGAGTTAGGGTACCGGAGAAACCTCAAAAGTGCTAATTAGATTATATTCTTAGAAACCCTACATAACCCAGTAAACCTTATTAAGGCAACGTTTACACTATTAAGAAATATTGTGTGCTCTCCATAAAATTATTTACAAAAATTCGCAGACATTGAATGAGGTATTATTCAGTGTAAAACATTATTTAGATATATGAGATTTATTTGCATTAATGTGTAAAAATAAATGCTGTTATTAATCACTATATTAAACCTTTTGTAGCGGTACATTTTGCTGTTGATTTGTTTGATTTTGACCAAGCGCTTCACCTTCTTCTATTGTCATCAACAGCTCACAGTCTTTTGTTTCAGGTAGCATAAGACAAAGTAAAGCACCTATTATTGGAAACACACCAAAAGCTACCGGAGCGCACCATTTTCCGTGTGGCCTCAGTCCTGCGACGAATGGCGCAATCATGGACCCCACTCGTGCCATCATCGATGATATACCAATAGCAGCATTACGCACCACCGTAGGAAACATTTCTGAACAGTATAAATATAAAACAATAAACACAATAAAAGTAAAGAATACGCCAAAGCAGCCAAGAACAACTGAATATGTTCCTTCTGGAACAAAAGTAATAACTATTAAACATATACTGCTTGCCACATTGAACACGATAACCAAAGTTTTTCGCTTTGAGAACTTCATAAGTGGTATTGAGACAAAGCAAGAGCATAAAGATACACTTCCACTTGCAACAACGTTAATATAAATATTTCCCTTTAAATGGCTTATATATTGCGCAACCCCATAAAAACAATAACTGCAAACAAGCCACAAAAATGCCATGATTATAATGTTTCTACGAATATTTGGTGTCCGAAATAAATCTAACAATGATCCTTGATTCACAACAGATTTATGTTCCAACTGATACAATTCGGTCAGTCGAGGAATATCTTCTAGCGGCAAATTATTTCTAAAAAAAATTAAAACATTAGAAAGATTAACGTGATTCATAAATTACCTAAATAAGTAATGCCGTACTAACATTTTTGCCACACGGTTCATCAGCGTTATAGCTTTTACTGTCTTGTTCGAAGCCAAGAGCCATCGTGGTGATTCAGGCAATACACAAATATAGAAAAGTAAAATTATATTAATTACAGAGATTACGAATTGAAAGTACATGTAGTCTGTTATATAATATCCGAATGCCGCCAGTGATATATGTCCAATTGAAAATGGAACATGGAATAAAGCTGATAATACGTCTCTGTACATGCTTCCGACGTATTCCATTAGGATAACAAATCCAATTACCAATATGCCTCCTATGGAAAACCCCAACATCATTCTTACTATTGTGAAACTCCAAAAATCGGGAAGGAATGATGCAATCACTCCAGTAAATGTTTCGATTATTACAGCACAAATTAATGTAGGGCGTCTGCCGTATCTGCAATTTTAATATATTTTTATAAATACAATATCGTATATAAATCGATTATCTGGTTATTAAAAAAGAACAAAAGTTTATTTTCAGTATTCATTAAAAGAGATCAATTAGGATCTACTTTTATTTCTCGCACTGGAGGAGCACACGAGGTGCTAGTGTATAGATTTACTATAAATGTTCGATCGCACGTTACACTAATTTTGCAAAAGATATCGTGAATCAGAGTAAAGCACTGGGCAGTAAACATGGTAATTATTAACAAATTTTTCAAGGCACGCAAGCCACTACTCATGTGCATTAATGAAAAGATCTATAGTGGAATAAAAAGGGCTGGTGGAGATGATAAAGCACGATTTTACTATTCAATGTCACTATAACAATAAATACTACTTATATCTTGCGCACCTATCTGACGCAGCTCCCAGTACCAAACTCCCAATGAGTACACCAAACTGAAAAAGAGTCTGGGTGAAATCTTTAAGCCAAGAGTTTTCACATATCAAGTTCCATTCCGTTATTATAGTTCTTGAAAACACACTTTTATCGTATTTAGGGTTGTAGCAACAAGTTACGTTTGCATTTGGACAGGTGTAATTCACTGGTGGAGCTAAAAATATTATAGCCATTTGATGTAACCCTACACCGAATTTGTTTAATAGAAGAATAAAAGAAAGCCATAAATGATACTTTCCGAAGTTACCAATTAAATTATTTATCAATACCATGCCACTCACTATTACCTAATTCATTGCATTCTCAAGTGTACCCAAATTACTTCAAATCTAGATGGCGTCAACTTATTCCAAACACTTTTAACCTTTTCTCTATTAAATTACTGGTCGCATTCAAATGAAAAAAATATATTCTACTTATTTATTTTTAACCACCCGAGGTTAGAACAATTAAGGTTAAGGTTATACCCGTATAACCTTAACCTTAGTTAATGATTTCTTATATTTACGCGAACACTACACATTGAAAGAATACTAGTTTTTACGGATTTATCGCGTATAATATTTAACTATAAACTTAACTTAAGCTTAGTTAATTGTTCTAAATTTATCCTTACACAATGTATAGAAACAAAAAGCTGGCTTTATTGCTCATAAAGAGAAAAGAACATTTTTTACACCAAGTACCAACTTTAACGAAACTATATATTTTTTTTTTCCTAACTATTTATTATATTTGTACTAAAGAAAATACAACAAGTGATCCATAGACACCTACATTTATTTTCGATTAAGGATCAAAATGCAGATGTGTTGTTTTCCCTATGAACTAATGGACCCAACACACGGTCAGTTCAACTGATCATTCCAACAGATCAGTTGCAAAACTAGGACTGTGATATTTTTCCAAATATCGTATTTTTGATATATCGATTATTATAAATGTATAAATATTGGAGTTTTATATATCGTAAGTTAATACACAGTAAGTCATTTTTATATAACGAAAAATATATCGATATATCGGCTTTATTTAAAAAAACAATCATGAGTTAGTAGTTTAGTCCATTTATTATATTTATTAAGCAAATTAAATTACAAATGTATGAAAATGTATATTATATGTTGTTGTTCCTGATGATGTTATATGTTCCTATTAATTGTTGTTTAATTTAAATATTATGTAAAACGATTATGTGTACCAATATTTTTCAGTAAGATTTTTCAAAAATACTCGTTGTTTTATATGTTCAACTGTTTAATATATTTAGAAGCACAGGTGCTACAGATATAGCTGAAGAAATCAAATATCTAACGGCTATTTCTGATAGAACGGGAGTAAACTCTCTACACAGCCGACAGTCGATGACGACAATAACTCAAGTTCATAAGACGCCCAACGGATCAAAATAACTTGAGATTTATATTAATATCGAAGCACTTGTTTTGTTGTTTTCTCTATTAGTTCATATGCGCATAGACTTGATACAAAAAAAAACGCATCACTTTTACGTATCAAAATCCACTTCAAACCATTATTTAAACCATAAAACAGAAGCAAAAATCCGCCGACGGTCAAGTTCCCGCCAAAACACAAAGTAAAGTAAAGTAGTTATAAGTTTTGTAGATTGTAATATATAATATAATATAATTTTAATACCACAGAGATATACTATACAAAATTACATTTCTTTTTAAGATAATAAGCAAATAAATAAACTGGGGAAATATTACAAGCATAAAATAAAGTACAGTAGATTGTGTAGTAGTAGATTAAGTGATTTAGGAAAAAAAATAAAAAAGTAAAAACTTTTTATTGAAAAAAATTACGATTGTCGATATTTACCCGGACAGACTTTACCCAGATATTGAGTCCGCCGTCAGGAATGTGAGATTATCACAGTTACCTGGGTCTTTATGAGCCCATTCAAATGAGTTCAAACACAGTAGTGGTTCTATGTAGTGCTGTCACTGAGATCCTAAACTTACCTTCGGATTCCACCATAAGGAAGGTGAAATCATCACAGTCATATCGGTATTTATGAGTACCTTTCAAATGAGTTCGAACACAACGATTCTATGAAGTGACGTCACTGAGATCTTTTAAATCTACCTTCGGGGTCCACCATCAGCTAAGTGATATCATCACAGTCATCGAGCTCTTCATGAACCCTTCTGCAAATGAGTTGGAAAAAAAGATAGTTCTACGTAGCATTAGTAGGATCCTATATCCACCTTCTGAGTCAATAATCAGGAAGGTGACATCATCACAGTCACCTTAGTCTTCATCCTTCGTCAAACGAAATTTTCTAAATATATAAAATAATAAAAAATGTAAATAGCATAGAAATAATGTAAGTAGCTACTAAGAAAGTAGGTATATACCAGTAATTAAAACCAACTGAAGCCAGCGGATCACGGTGCGCCCAGAAAACTCCGTGGAGTGCCATCAGTTAAAAATTTCAACTTAAGATTTCACACTCACAATCAGTTTTTGATGTATGTCAGTTCGACTGAGCAGTTTCAACTGACAGTACGCCCGAAAAAGTCAATGGGTTGTGGTCAGTTGAAAATTTTAACTTAAGATTCCACACTAACGGTCAGTTTTTGGATTTACGTTAGTTCAACTGATCATGTGTGGAGACCATAAGATGTATAGAGGGTCTCCGGTTACCTACAATCACAATACGAAACATAACAGCATTATGCTATTATTTCAGGCTAATTTTCTGCTAGACCTTGGTCCTATCTACTACTGCAGCGTGGCTCTACAACATAAAACCTAGAAGATCGGCATTTTTTGACGGCACAAATAAAGATCAACCACAAGTGGTAAAATTAAAAAAATTGTACAACTGACTTTAATATAAAGTAAATAAAATGAGAACATCATCAATGTATTTGAAGTCAAATAAATACGCATTATTAAGAATAACTCAAAAAAAAACTGGTCAGATCTTTATCAAATAAATATTTATATTATATGAGGCCACACTAGAAGCACCAGCTTTCAAATAAAAAAAGAATCATCAAAAACAGTTCACCTAGAAAAAGTTCTGAAGTAACACAGATAAAAAATAAAAGTCGAATTGAGTACTTCCTCCATTTCGAAGGGGGTAAAAAAGATAAATTAACTACAGGTAGGACCAAAAGAGTTTTGGCGATTTGAAAATAAAATAATAAAATACTCTAAACAAAAATCGGGTTATTCCTTTTATCCACCCTCAGAACTCGGAAACGCGTGTTCGTTTGTCACCTTATCCTATAAAAAAATTTTTTTCGAATTCAAAGATTTTTAATAGGACATGACAAAGGTCGTCGAAAATGGCAGGACAACGTCTGCCTGGCAAGCTAGTATAATTATATACGCAGTTTTGGGATGGCCCTGGGAACACCCCAGCCGCAACCTACTATCGTTGATATTAATAGATAGGTGCTTTCTTATTTTTAATATATTTAGAAATGATTGAGTTGTTAAATTATATACATATAACAATTTAGATTCTTGTTAAAAATGGTAAACCGCCGTAATTTACTTTACATATTTATGTCAGTATGCCAACACAAATAACAAGGTTCTCTGCAAGGTTATAAATAATTTACGCATTTTATTATAGCGTCTTACC